ACATTCAATATTATGTCTTAAAGTTTCATCCAGGTCATTTGAGATTTAAATTCCACTCATTTTCATTGTTGTTTAGAATTCCATTTATGACTATACCACAATTCACCTATCACAGTTCACTACATTTGCAGACATTTGTGTTGTTTCCGTGCTGCTCTTCAAACAGTATGATGCTGAATGGTCAGTCTCCTGGCACATGGATGTGAGAGTCCAAGGCAGTAGTCTTGAAATTAGGAAATGAGTGCAAGAATATACAAATGTGTTCTCTGGGGGATGTGAGGCATGCATAATTTTTTTTAAAAGATTTTATTTATTTATTTCATAGAGATCGGGAGAGAGAGTGAGAGAAAGCACAAACAGGGGGAGCAGCAGAGGGAGAGGGAGAAGCAGGCTCCCTGCCCAGCAGGGCGCCCGATGAAGGGCCCAATCCCAGGACCCTGGGATCATGACCTGAGCCAAAGGCGGATGCTTAACCAACTGGACCACCTAGGCGCCCCGAGGCATGCATAATTTTAAGGGAACCGATTTCCGAGCCCTTCGCCTCTATAAACGCTCTTCCTTAAAAACTGATCTCCCTGAGAAGCTACCTGAGGTGTAGGTCTTGATTGTTCCCTTCCTGTGTAAGGACCCCCTTCCCCACTTTCACAAAAGATGGGCCTCTCTCTGTTGGTGAGTCTTACCACAATGCTATATTCTGGGGTCTAACCATCTAACTTGCAAGGTACCAAACAAAAGGACAGTTTGAAATATTGCTGTAGGATAGTATTGAGAAAGTGAACTATTTGAATGTCTGGTTTTATGGGCTGAATTGTGTACCCCTGATATTCATATGTTGAAATCCTAACCCTCAGTACCTCAGCATGTTATTGTATCTGGAGGCAGTGTCTATAAAAAGGTGATTAAGTTAAACGAGGTCCTTAGGGTGATCCCTAATCCAATACAACTGATGTCCTTATTAGAAGAGGAGATTTGGTTGCAAACAGTACAGAAGGAAGATAATGTGGAGACTGAGAGAGAAGACAGCCATGCACAAGCTAAGGACAGTGCCCCAGAAGAAACACCTTGATCCTGCCAACACCCTGAGCTCACACTTCTAGCTTCCAGGACAACAAGGAAATACATTTCTCTTTAAGTCACCCCATCTATGGTATTTGTTTTGGCAGCCTAAGCAAACTAATACATCTAGGTAATAACAAGTCTTTTTGCAAATGAGGTGGTTTTTAATCCTTTGATTTCAAAAATATTGAAAGAAAACCAAATTGAATTATCTGCATATTGACCAATGAAAATAATTTTTAGTGATTAATACTTATGTGATTTTGGCATATATCTTCAAAGTAGCTCAAAGATTGATTACAATTTTACATTGTAATAACCAAATCTCCTCAGTTCCCATCTACTTATCGATATAAATATGGTTTCTTGGAGCTTACATCTGTAGAAACAAAACATAGGAAATAATGCTAAATCCATTCGTTCTGGCAAAAACCGGTATTGATCTGTAAGTTAATTCACCAATTTAAAAGAATCATCTCACTAGGAGATAGTATTTTTGTATTTAATAGTATTTTTTTTTTAAAGATTTTATTTCTCTATTTGGCAGAGAGAGACACAGCGAGAGAGGGAACACAAGCAGAGGGAGTGGGAGAGGGAGAAGCAGCTTCCCGCCAAGCAGGAGCCCGATGTGGGGCTCGGTCCCAGAACCCTGGGATCATGACCTGAGCCGAAGGCAGATGCTTAACGACTGAGCCACCCAGGTGCCCCTTTAATAGTATTTATAAAATTCAAAACCATATTTAATGTTGTTTTGATAAATGTGTATGATTATTATTTGTAAAATTAACTCGACCAAAACATTAACATTTAAGTCTTATGATCGCAGGAAAGTTTTATAAATATACTTTTAATTTATAATCTTGCTTTTATTGTAGAGAAGAAATATTAATAAAAGACTTTCAAGCTTAAAATAGATTATATGAAGGTATGATTCAGTTTAAAAAATAGACTTTAAGAAGGCACAGAAAAAGGACAAAGTAACACTGGGGCGCTTGGGTGGCTCAGTCCTTAAGCGTCTGCTTTCCGCTCAGGTCATGATCCCGGGGTCCTGGGATCAAGCCCCGCATCCGGCTCCCTGCTCCATGGGAGGCCTGCTTCTTCCACTCCCCCTGTTTGTGTTCCCTCTCTCGCTGTGTCTCTCTCTGTCAAATAAATAAATAAAATCTTCAAAAAAAAAAGAAAAAGTAACACTGAAGAATTGTATACTGTTGAAGATCTTAGTTTTGTGTTTTCTAAATAAATGTTGCTGAGTTTTAAATCACTCTGCTATTTACATCCCACTGGAAACATTTAACAAGGTGATGCAATCATTTTGTTTTAAAAAATTGGTATTTACTACATATTGGAAGGTACATCATTTGCAACTTTTTAGACTAAGGATGAAATTTTTGGATGGCAATTTAACAATATGGCAGGGGTGTCATTTTATAAAAATTTTAAAGAAGTGCAACAAGCAAAAAAGTTTGAAGAACACTTTAAAATTTTAAAGAAGTGCAACAAGCAAAAAAGGTTTGATAACTAAAAATGGAATTTATGACTCATAAAATATGCTAAACTTCAACTCTACAAACTAATGCCAGAGTGCAGAGATACACATATTGATTGGCATGTTGAAGTAAGTTTTTTCTTCCGTATCAGATTTTATACTTTTTTCATCCTTTTTTTTTTTTAAACTAAAATGGATGTCTACACATTGGTGTCTTGTGCTTTTAATTTGCATTTCCCTTATTACTAGTTAGTCTGAGCATCTTTTCATAGGCTTATCAACCATATGGGCTTCCTTTTCTGTAGAGTGCCTGTTCAAGCTTTTGCCCATAGTTTTTCTTTTGGGTTGTTTGTGTTTTCCTAATTGCTTTGAAAGGATTCTTAATATATTCTGGTTACTAACTATTTCTCAGTTCTCTGTAGAGAAGATACTTTCTTCCAGTTCATGACTTGTGTTTTCATTCTCTTTATAGTGTTATGTGATAAACAGGAGTTTCAGTGATTTCTTTGCATCTTATTTAGGAAATCTTTCCCTACATCAAAATCATAAAAATTATATTGTCTTCTGAAAGCTCCCCTTTCACACTGAATTTTTTAATCAATCTGGAATGATCTTTATGCTTGATGTGTATGCATCCAGTTCCATTTTTTTTCATGTAGATAAAAGCTTATTATAATGCCAATTATTGAAAAATACCATTATTTACCCAACTGATCTAAAGTGCCAATTCTGCTGTCAGTCAACTTCCCTTATATATCTAGGTCTGGATCTGGGCTCTAACTCATTTTGCTCTGTGTGGCAGAACCAGTTCCTCAAGCCCACTCCCTTCGAGGCACACTGTGTCACCACATTTCCCAGCCCATTTTGCAACTGATGGGGCCACGTGACTGAGTTCTATAGGGGACGTCAACAGAAAGCATGTAGATCGCTTCCACACTGGGCCCCTGAATTTCACATGAAATTCTTCACAGTTTCTTTTTTCTCTTGTCTGTGGCAGATGAAGAGAATCCAATGAAGTAGTGTGAGTCTATAATCAATGGCAGAGTCTAGTCAAGAGTCTGGGGTTCTGAATATCTGCATGATGCTCCTCCCATCACATCACCTTATACCTTTCCTTCCTCATCTGCCATCAACCTGCCTTAGACTTCTGTTATTATCATCACTTGTTTAAACTAATATAGATCATTGAGAACTAAGTGTAGTAGACCTAAGATCTTTATACTTGTACCTCCTCTGCTATGCAAATGGGAAACTGTCAGTAGTGTAACTTGAAGCTGACTCCATGAGGATATAGATTGTTATTGGTGAAACAGATTCAGGAGACTGAATCCGTTAGTGTAATACTATCTTTCTATTTATAGGAGGAAAGTAAAACATCCCATTCTTTCAGAGGCCATCACACACTCTAGCTAAGGGTTAATTCTCTACTGGGGGAGAAATGGGACAGACTACACCTTTTTTTGAAGGTACATGAGAAAGAAGACAGGCCAACTGTACAAGATAGGCATGAAGGTGCCAGGACTGAAATGCATGTATTTTAAACATTTGGATGGTTTTTTGTTCTAAGCATAGCTCTGCTCCTGTGAGTAGTGAATAGTGACAGTAGTTTCCTCATTTTTCCTACCTGAAAAGAAATCACATTAATAATTCTTTCCTCGAATTTAGAGGCAGATATTTCTGACAACATTTTTACAGTCTTTTGGTGATGTCATAAGGTTTCCGTGCTGCCTTGGGCACTTGGTGGCAGCGTGGTGAGTGAGCTCAGCCCCTGGAGTCAGCTTGGTTTTATACAGTTCTCTGGCTCTCCTGCATAACTTAATGATTTTGGGCAAGTTACTAAACCTCTCTGTGTCTGGTCAGTTACCTACAAAATGGAGAGGACAGTGGTCTCATTCCATAGGGCTCTTGGAGAAGTAAATGAGATCATTTATGTAAAGCATCTAGAACAGAGCCCAATACTCAGTCTTATTAAATGTGGGCTAAGCAGTGTGAGAAATATGAGCTAATGACCATAAATAAGGAGACAGAAAAGGTAAGTGAAAAAGATAAGAAAAATGACAAATAATAGTGGAATTAGAAAGACATGTTCAAATGAAATAAACTAATGAAAATGAAAACGTACACTGATCTTACAGTTTAATACATCTGCATTTGGTCATTCAAAAAACTATAAGACAAGTTTACACAATCATTTTTGGTTTATAAAAAGGTGGTTGTCAAAGGAACTCAAATTATTAATGTTTTTCTATAAAAAGTATTATTGTAATTGAAAAATTATGAGGCAAATCTCTATTGACACATATGCACATGTGATAAATACAATTGGAATATTACAAGCAAGGGTACAAAGAACCTTGTCAAAAAGGGGTAATTGTTTTGTCATCTTTCCTTAATATTGTCAGATACATTTCTGGGTGATTATTGCATAAACTCATTGAAGACAAAGAAGACAACAGAATTAAAAATATATGATGCTTTATTGTCAAAAATAGACAAACTGTAATTTCCTTTAACAGGAATATTAATTTAGGAATCTCCATAAGCCATCACCATTTTGTGAGCACAAAAGACAAGAGTCAACGACAACTGTTAGTGGGAGAAGGACAATGGTTCTACATCCAAGCCAGAGAAGCCAGGCCCACAGAATCACGGTGACCTTTAGAGCCCAAGAGTAACAGACATGCAAACGAGGCTGACTGCTCCGGGCCCAGTCCTATAAGGACCGGCTTTGCGGTATCTTCTCAAACACATGAAGAGTTGGATTTGTTAGACTGCTTGCTGATTTGAATAGTGAACTTTTAGGTCACGTATGGGATCCATAACAGGATCACACCCGCTTTTGAGCAACACCAGGATGAAGACATTTGTCCCTACAACCCTGGCTTCAGGCACGTAAAGTGGTACTAATAATTTGGGCAGGAGACCTGACTGAGCTCCTTTTGCTGATTTACAGCAAAAATGTGAGGGCCTTGCTGAATAGTGTAAGGCTACATTCTCTCATTAACATAAAACAAGAATGGCTAAGGACCTAGCTAGGAGGAACGAGAAAAAAAATCAGGCCTTTCTTGTTCCCTAGGGACATGTATCCAAGGCTGAAGAAAACTGGTTATCTAGACCATGATTTTCATTCCCTAGTCTGTACTATACACCAGATATCCACAGCCAGAGCAGACTTCATAAATAGGCCCATGTTGATCATGAAAAGTGGTAGCAGGCACCTATTATCTCCTTGGAAGATTCAGGCTAAGGAGAAACACCTCAGTTCCCAGGAGAGGCCAGAGCCAGATGACACTGACTGGGTGAGATGCTTCATCTGAGGTTAAGTATACGTGATGATGAAAATCAGAAGCTAGATTATCAAGTGAATGAGAAAGGAAGTGGATCTGAGAACTCACTTCCCATTCCCATACACATTCACCATGCCCTCAGGGGAAGAGTGATCAACTATATGCAAAAAAATCCGTTGAACACTTTTCACTTTTTTAGCTTAAACATAACATTCAATACTTGAGAACTAGAAAAAGGGAGCTTGTATTGTATCATAAAGTTATTTTAAACAATACTGTGGTTACTGAAATGACAATACACGCTTTTGCCACCTCTAAAACGGAAGCATAGAGAGGATGCCAAGAAACAGTGAAGTAGCTATGTTCTTGCTGTGACATTTCTTATTCACTCTTGCACGGGGTGAAGTTTTAATTACACTCACCCACTACATTCTACCCTCCAGTCTGAGAACGCTTCTTATCTGAGTAGGGGCAGGAAAGTGGTGCGGGCTTCTGGAAGTTTCGACGGGCTAAGCATCATGACGTTTCTGACTGAAAGGATTACTCTGAAAACATACAGAAAAAAAAAGCCATAGGAAAATCTAATTAGGCACATTTGGTGTATAGTCTATTTAGCAAGACAACCTGGAAAAAGCGAGGTCAAATATAAAACTAAGGTGGACTGCTTCTTTTATTCCATGCCATTTTGTAAAAACATGGGATATAGGCAAAAAAAAAAAAAAAAAAAAAATACACTTTTTCAGGTCCTTTCTCAAAAGCCATGAACTCAGCCTTTTAGTTGGGTTGCTGTAAATGTGAAGCCTGGAAGGGAGATGACTCAATTTGGGGTTTCTCGTTGAGAGCAGGCAGAGTGACTAAAATGACTCTCACAGGGCAACTGTGCAGTTTTATGACCCAATCATAAAAAGGACCTTTAAAATCTTTCCTTTTCAGCACTCTTCAATGACTGTGGTTCCAATCAAGGAGTAAAGCTTTTTCTTCACAAGTCGGAATCCTGAACTCAGGATCAGAGTTCGCCTGAGGCCAGATGAGAAGCGACCTCGGCTGAAGAAAAAGTCCCTGAAGCTAGTCCAGGAGCCGTTCTCCTGCTTAAACACAAGGGTGAGCTCGAAAGTGGGCACCACGCTTGAATCACACACAATTTTATCCAGCTTTTTACATACGTTTTCAACTTCCAAGTTTACGTGCATAACGCAACCTCGCAGGCCGCAGGGCTCCGTGGAGGACAGCCGTAGGACATCCTGAGCAATCCTCTGGGTCAGTTTCTCAGGGACAAGGACTTTTGAGCAACCAAGTTTGGTTTGCTTTGATTTGGACAGACAGTTCTCCAGCATTTTCGCCAAACTCTGGCAAGTTGTCTCCTCAAACATCACCTCATTGAGGTTGGGTTCAGGAACAACATAATCCCAGTAGTCGAAATCTGTAGGAAAGGCAAGTTGGAGATGAAATCAATCAATCAATCAATCAATCAATCAATCCCGGAGCAGATAAAACATACCAAGATAGCAACATGGGCTACTTCTATCTACCACGTCTGCCTTTTGCTCATATTTGTTGGAGAGTCAGCCGACTTGGCTTTGCTGTTGACTAGCTGGGTAACAAACAGATCAGGTCACTGAAATCTCTCAGAGACTGAAAACGCATCTATGAAATAAAGGTTCTGATAAACAGGATGGATAGGCTATAACCTCTTTTCTCTAAATTTACATGTGTACACACACACAATCTTACAGACTGGATCAAAAATCTTTCTATGGTTATACTAGAATACCAGTGACTTTCTTTCTTTCTTTCTCTCTTTCTCTCTTTCTCTCTTTCTTTCTTTCTTTCTTTTTTTTTTTTTTGTTATTTGACAGAGAGAGACACACAGCAAGAGAGGGATCACAAGCAGGGGGAGTGGGAGCGGGGAGAAGCAGGCCTCCCTCGGAGCAGGGAGCCTGATGCAGGGCTCAACCTGAGCCGAACGCAGAGCTTAACAACTGAGCCACCCAGGCGCCCCCAGTGATTTTCTTTTCCTTCCCGCTCCCTTACTTGCTCTGAGGGTTTTCTAATTTTGTTTTACAGAGAACACGCTTCACTTCTGGAATAAAAATGGTAACAATTTTTTTTTTCTTCGATGAAGGGACTATTCGTTTCTAAGAATTATATGTGTTTGTTATTGTGAAATGCAGGATTTTTGCTACTGCTCCTTACTGATGAACTTAAGATGAACTTGATGAGCTATAGTAAATATCGAATTTGTGTCTTTCTTTAACAGTCTCTATGGGAATGGTCTGTAGATCCCAATTTTAGCTTCAAGCTCTTTGATTAAAAATTGCTCAAAGGGAAGACCTTTAAGGTCCACGAGGATATTTATAGCTGGCTGGGTAGTTTTCGTAGCCAAGCAAAACAAAACAGTCCTAGGAAAATAAAATTAGATTTGCTCAAAGGAAAAGAGATAGCTCTGCATTTGGTCACCTACCTTCCAAATTAATCCTACCACTGGGCAGGATGCCACACCACATACGCAGTCAACTGGGCAACCCCTCCCTAAGCATACTTCACCTTCATTGGCTACTGTCTCTTCATCTCCCCACATCACCTATTCAGTTCGGTCATTGTTTTTGTTTTTGTTTTCATAACTCAGTGAAACAAATGCACTTATAAGGCTCCATATTTTACCTATATTGAAGACAGAGAATTTTAGAGCTTTGGCCTATAAAACTAGCTCATCAACCACTTGGCCTTCGAAATGAGGAAGGCCCAAAGAAATTAAGCAATTTGTCGATGCCACACAGCTTCTTAGTGGCAGAGCAGTGTGTTAACCTAGAAACTGCTGTTTAAAATTGCAGAGCAAAGTATGTCCAGCACCACTGCTGTTTTAAAATTTCCTTCTGGCATTAAAAGCAGAATGCTGGGTGTATCCACAAATAGAATATTGCTCAGCAATAAAAAGGAACATATACCGATAGAAGCAACCACATTAAAGGATCTCAAAATCATTAGGCTGCCGGAAAGAAAGCAGACGCAAAAGAGTAGGTATTACATGATTCCATTTGTTTGAAACTGCAGAGGCAACACTAATTTATGGTGACAAAAAGCAGATCAGTGTTTCCCTGGGGACAGGGGAGAGGGAGAGTGGAAAACTGATGGCAAATGGGCGCGTGCGAACTTGGGGGTACGGGGTGATGGCAGTGGTTATAAGGGTGAATACATTTGTTAAAATTCAAAACTGTACACTTCGAATTCACCGTAACTTCACAACCCCTTAAGGAACCTATCTAACTTTTAATCCCCAAACATCCTCTTGGCCGCAAACTAGACCGTGCAGCCTTTGGCTGTTTGATTTTTTGCTACTTTTGTTTCTCACTACCACGAACAGAAGATGCTAGAAAGTTTGGAAAGGAGTCTTTTCAGATGGATTTTGAGGCACACCCTACATCGAGGAAGAGGCGACACCGTCCGTCCACCCATCTCATCTATCCAGGGGCCGCGACCTTTGGAGGAGAGAGAGGCGGGCAGCTGGGAAACTCACCATTTAGCAGGCTCCCCGGGTGGAAGTCATGCTCTAGCAACTCTGAAATGCAGGCCGGGTTCTTACTGCTCAAACTGCCAGTTGCAACCATGGTCAACGGCTCTGTTTCCCTCGCGGGGGCGGAACGGCCTTTCCGGGGCGCTGGAAAAAGAAGGGAAGAAGGACGGATTTGCAAAAGTAGGCAAGACGTGCAGAGGCTCCTAAAATGCCCAGCGTCCCAGCAGCTAACTAGCCGAGGAAGTCATTTTCCAAAGGGGAGGAGCCGGCCTCCGCAACTCAAGTTTACAAAGCCCCGGGAGTGGAGACGCCAGCCACACTCACAACCTAAAACTAATTCAAAGTTAGCATAACTCGGGGCGGACGTGCCCAGCGGAACGCACCCCTGGGCGGGGAGCAGCGGAACCCTCCGCCCCCGCTCCGTCCCCCGAGGCCGCTGCCTCGCTCACCTGCCGGGAGTTCGCTGCGACGGGCGCGCTCGCTGGCAAAGCGGCGGGGTAAACGGAGGCACGAACCGATCTCAGGGGCCTCCTCCCTCGGAGGCTCAGGGACCTGCAGACCCAAGCCCTGATCGACCCCCACCCCACGCATTACCCGCTCCACCGAGCAGCATCGCCCCTGCGGCCGGGAGCACTTTATAGGCCCAGCCTCCTCACCCCGCCGCGGCCCGCCCACCTGCACCACCCCTCCGCGGCCCTGCGGCCCGCCCTTCCCGGGGTCGGGTTGCATTTCAACCCAGACCCTTGCAGCCGCCCAAGGGGAGCCGCCGGGAGTTGAGGATAAGCTTGCGGCCGGGTCGACACCTGCTGTTTCCTGGGTGGGCCGCAGGTCACCGAGTCCCCAGTTCCGGGTGTACGACTTGCCGAAACTGACCACTCGCCTCCACTACTAGCTTGGATTCTTCGGCGCGACCCCACCCCAGCGCGCGCACACTCTCACGCCGCCGGTGCCCTAGTTGAGATTCTGTCCCGGGCAGCGGGAAGCTTTCCGTCCTTTGTCTGTTACCGGGACCTGAGGCTTTGCTGTGTCGTACTAAAACTTGGCTAGTATCTGTTTCGATGTTCAATGAGCATTATTTATGCATTTAGTTCTGGCCTCTAACCAAGTCAACTCTACTCGGTGGGTTTCTACATCTTTCCCTCCTGCCCGCGATCAGATCTAGCTCGCCTTTTCCGCGTCGGAGGCTCTCCGGCATTCTAGGAGGGGTCTTCATCACTGCACTCCCAGCACCCTAAGGCGGTTTCATCTATGACTAATGAGTTTTCTCTGCGAGAAGGGTGAGCCTGGTACTCTTCTAATTAGACCTGGCTCCAGAGATCTGGGAGCTTGAATGAAGGGGACTTTGCCCCAAACGAAGCAGAACCATTAGTGGGACCTTAGCTGCTTCTTCGCCCGCCTGATCGCCGGGAGCAGTTGTCATACTCAGAGGCAGACCTTTCTGGCGAGCCCCGTGGTGTCGGGCGGTCTTGAAGGGCTTGGGGCGGTGAAGATACGGAGTTTTATTAGTACCTGCTAGGAATAATCCCTGTGAGGCTTGATGCGCAGTTCTGAACCCAAGCGCACAGAGAGACAGAGGAACTGTGCAAAGACTCAACATGCGCGCACAGCCCGTAAGCAGGAGGCCAAGTGCTATGTTTCCTTCCAAAGTTACTAATCCGCCCTTTTCCTGCTTTGATGTGCAGTAGGAGATGATCTGCTCAGAGAGGTCACTCCCGAAGAAGGCGTTGGGTCAGGAGCGGAAAGGGAGGGGATGCCAGGAGGGGAAGACTGTTTCTACAAGTAGGAGGATCTAGTGTTGGCTCCTGGTCTTTTAGGATTATGTGTACAAGGATCTGTAGGTTAGGGCCTTGAAAAGCAGTTTCAGCTGTCCAGGCTAAAAAGTCGTCGTAAGAAAAACAACAACAGAAGGGGTAAGGAGGGTGTGATAAACAGATCAGTGGGAGGACATTGGGAGACAGTGCAGCAGAAATTAAAGCCAGCCTGACAGTCCATTTTTAACTCGACTAAGGCAGCTGCACTGCCTGAAGGTCAGGCCAGCCAAGGAAGGAGATGCTGATAGGCTGGTCATTGAAAGCAGATTTCCACTTCTATTTCAATAGCAGAAAAGTGGGAAATAAACAAGCCCATTTAAGCCAACTAAAAAGCGCTTTCAGTGGCTAATATGTTCAAGATGGATAGATGAGCTGCCTAGCTGTCTGGGGCCGGGGGAGGGGAGGGCAAGCTACAGAGCGTCCTTTCCTTATCTGGGTGGTAATACTGATGAAGCGGCCACCTACCTGCCTCCAAGGAGAGCTATTAGGATTAATATAATGAGTGCTCTGAACCTACACCATTGAAATAAAGAAATTACCCATTTCATTTCCCTTAGGTATTTAGGCAAAACACATAAACTAAGTACTCCCAAAGGGCCAGAAAGATTAGTGGGCCTTCTAGAACGTAGCCGTTACTTTTTGCTCACCTGACTAACTGAAATTTTGCAAAATCCCTTTGGGATTTTACTGCAGAAAATAATTTACCTATGTATGAAAGACTGAATAATATTCTTTTTGGCTGAATGGACCTAGCTTTGGGGAATTACAGGGCATAAGGAATGATCGATGTGGAACTCATACTTGGGATAATTAGTGGAGATTGTCCTTTCTCATCTACTTTTTAAAGGGTAAAAAATCCATCCTATCACCAGTTTGCATCTCTGCGGGGTTAAACAAACAGACCCGATTTTTAAAAATAAATCATACAACAGAATTTGGAAAAGCCAGGTGCCATCATAGTCTTGTCAAGAGATGATACATACTTTCGCCCATTAATTTTTATATGCTGTGGATATGGTTAATTATAACGGAAGGTTCACATGGGGGTATCAGGCGTTTATGAGGTAGTGCTGAAGTACATTTCATTGCTGTTTTGTTATATCCTCTCTCATACTGTAAAAGGAGTTTGTGAGGGTGCTTACTGGAAACAATAGTTGAATATGAAGAGAAATCTAATTGGTTAAATCATTTGATTGCCTTTCATAAACCAGTGTAATATAGCAAACTACTAAAATCCTAAGTAACATCTTTGACTGAAGAATGCTTTTTTATTACTATGCTTTACTCATCCACCTAAGAAAGAAAAATAGTGGTAACACATGGCAACAGTAGGTTCATCTGATGTATATACAAATATGGAAGTTCCATGTCCCCCTCCTGTCTAAATATAGTATTCATAATATCATTGCTTGCATAAAGTATAAGTTCAGAATACCAGGGATATTACAAAAATGAAAAACAAATATGATGCTTTAATATATTATTCTAGGAGACACTGGTATCTTATGCATTCATGACTTGGAGTGGTGAATATTTATTATGTTTCACTGGCCAATTTTCTCTCTTTATCCAATATGAGCCATTGTTCCTGAGGTCTTATTAATACAGTTATATCCAGTACATTGCTAATTTTATTTTATGAACTATGACATCAGACGGAAAATGACTGGGTTTCTTAATCTGTGCAATGGGTTCTGGGAAGATTTACAGGACATGGAAGTCTCTTAGCAGGCTCATAGAGTTGTTGTGAGATTAAAAGAGGAACCCTTATAATCAATGATAAATATTATCTGTTATTTATTTATTTATTTATTTAAAGATTTTATTTATTTATTTTAGAGACAGAGCACAAGAGGGGGGAGCGGAAGAGGGAGAAACAGACTCCCTGCTGAGCAGGGAGCCCGATGCGGGACTCGATCCTGGGACTCCAGGATCATGACCTGAGCCGAAGGCAGCCGCCTAACCAACTGAGCCACCCAGGCGCCCCGAATATTATCTCTTTTTTATAAAGAAATCCGAGATCTTTAAAGGCACACTATTGGGGCATCTGGGTGGCTTAGTCAGTTAAGCATCCGACTCTTGGTTTTGGCTCAGGTCATGATCATGGGGTCGTGGGATTGGGCTCTGTGCTGAGCTGAGCACGGAGTCTGCTTCAGATTCTCTCTCCCACCCCCTCTCCCCCACCACCTCACTTGCACTCTCTTTTTTTCTCTCTCAAATAAATAAATAAAATCTTTAAAATAAATGCACACTATCCCTGGCTTTCCTTGGTTATGCTAAATTTCTAAATCTAGTACTTACATGCAGTTTTAGAACAGGGTCGGTACATAGCAAGTGCTTAATGAATGATAGCTATTATTATTGCAATTATTATTGTCCTGAAATTGTGGTTCTGTTTATTGCAGCAAGCACTAATGGGGCTAAATGGGGTTGGAGAAGTATTGTTAAAACAGAACAAAATTTATCCTCTTTCCTGTTTGCAGGCAGTACAGAAAATATTTGCCACTGATTGGGAAAGACAACTTTTATTTATTTATTTTTTTTTATGATAGAACATGTGTAACTTAATGGGAGTACAGGAAGGAGGTCTCTCAATGGTAAGTAAGAAAATAATGTGGGTAAAAAGTTGTTTTGGTACAAAATACAGAATTACATGTATTAACTTTCCTATATTAATCTAGGAAATAGTTTTCTGGAAAAAAAAATCACAGGTATTTGAAATCATTGCCTAAAGAACCACCCAAATGTTTCAAGACATGTATGACCCCCTTTTAACACTCTGGATGAGATATGTCATCATTATTTTTGTCTTTGAGGGTGCTCCAACCAATAAAATTTCCATTTAATGATGAAATATGCAATGAGTTAGTCTATAGAATAATGACATTTTCCAATAAGTAAGATAATGTGAAGACTTATTTAATATAAGACAAAAGAAGCCCAGTAGAAAATAATACATAATATCTGCGGCTAAAAGCTGAGAGAATCTTCCAGAAGCAGAAGGCCTTGCTTCTCTAAATTCAAGCAGAGAAATGGTTACCATAGTGACTTATCTCTCAAAATAGTTGTATGATTCTTTTCCTTTTCGTAAACAATGTTACGTATTATCTACCTTTAAGTAAAGAAAGCTGATATGTTTAAATGTACACTGTCCCTTCTTTTCCTTAATTATACAAAGATTTATAATTCAGGAGCCCGCATAAGAGAATGTCAGCTAGGAGCATGGAGAAGCTCCTTGACACTTTTCTAGTGATACACCTTAAAACCTTTGCAAGTTCCAAGTTGGGGAATACCATCATGGCATACCATTCCTCTGGAATTCTTATGTGCATAAAGATAAGAAGAGGAAAACATAGCTATGTGCTCGTGTAGATGCTGGTCCTTCATTGGTCCGCCTCCCTGTACCAGCCAAGTGTCCTATTCTGATGGACAAAATTTGCATGGCTTTTGTCATTCACATTTGTGTCCCAGAAAAGTTCCACATTGCTTCATGACATAACCCTGTGGGGTTGCACAAGAAAATAATTAAATCCAAGAATGCCCACATGTGGACCAGATAGAAAAAACTGGTAGTCTTTAGAGTGGGTCTGACCCTCGTTCTGTAAAGAACATTAATGTTAACAAGTTTGACAAGGTCAGAGAGCGATTCTGTTTTTTTATCTTCATGGTGTAGTGGTTAGGTGTATGGACTATGGGGCCTAAGTGCCTAGCTGTATATGACACCAGCCATGACACTAATTAGCTGTATAAACTTTGATAAGGTACTTAACATTGCTGTGTCTCCATTTTCTACCTTTAAAAATGGGAATTGTAAT